TTATTTAAATGAAACATATAGATAGTTAACCAAGTAATAACTATTTTCGTGAGTAACCAGGAGAATTGAGCATACGCTTTTGTGTTCTTGCAACCTATATTTTTTATATTTCCTTAGTGTAATTGAAAAAGAAGTATATATAATGTATCTCGCTATATATTAATGTATTGACTTGCTGGTCCTTCATCTCTATTTAATACTTGTTTCTGTTTTTTATATTTCATTATTTCTAATGTTTCTCTAATATTAAATTATATAAAACTTCGAGGCTGAGCTAAAACTAAAGTTTTTCCCATAATATTGTATGTTGGGTAGTTTTTATATGTTCGGCTATAGCTGAAATTTCTTTTTTATTATTTCTTGTGTAACTTTTGTGTTCTTGCAACCTATATTTTTTATATTTTCTCAGTGTAATTGAAAAAAAAAATAGGTTGCAAGAACACAAAAGCGTATGCTCAATTCTCCTGGTTACTCACGAAAATAGTTATTACTTGGTTAACTATCTATATGTTTCATTTAAATAAACTTAAGAAATTATTATAATTATTGACCATTGAACTGCATTTTTTCCGCGTATTTATCTAAAGTATCCTCATAGTGTTGTATAACATTCGCTTTTCTAGACAATTTAAGTCATACGACATCCTAGAAATAACTTTTGCTTGGAGTAAGTGCGTTTTGTTGAACAATAATATCGCCATTTTATCAACTCTCACTTTTAAAAATTGCTTCAATTTCTACAGATGTTTTTGAAAAAGTTTCAACAGCCTCACCAGATGTGTCACAATATTCTTCGTTGTTCATCTCTTAGTTTTTTATTTATCAATTTTGCCACGATTTTCTTTCTTAAGTTTCTTTAGTAAACAAGAGGGAATGCTCAATAGCGCAGGCACTTGAAATTCTTTTAGGCAGGATTAGTGTAAATTAATCTATGAAATCTTGGGCGTGGTCAAATGCATCAATCGAAAGAGTTTGACCTCCTGAGTCCAAAACTGTAATTAGATCTCAAATCGGCCAAGAGATGACTGAGCTATGAGCTAAAAGTTTGTACTTGAAAAAACAAAACAAACTCGGAGTCGTTCTATGAGCCGCTCAGCAGCGGATAAAAAACAAATTGCTATATCCCATATCTATATTTCTTTTTGTCCAATACCTCTCTTTAACACGAGAAATAATTAGGGTTATTCTACAATCTTCGTATGATTATCACTAACTTGCTTCATGAACCTATTTTAATGAAGATACCGGTTATGGTGTGAACGCCTTTTACAAGCTGGCGAAGCATGATAATAATTAATTATACTTGTTATAAGACACTATGTTAGGCTTAGTATATTTATAACACAACATTATTAATTTATCTCCTTATGGATTTTCAGTAATTGGAAGAGTGTATAATTATAGTATTTCAATCAAACAAAATTTGTCATATCAATTGCGCCGACAACGCGGTTCGCTCAATCCAGAGCTATTCAGGCTGACTGGGATACAAAGAACACGGTAATGGTCAGAATACTTGAAAATCACTAAGGAACTAGGTTAAGAATGTAGTGTTAAAAATAAAATATGCTTGACATAATGTTTTATGACAAGTACAATTAATTATAACCATGCTTCTCCAGCTCGTAAAAGGTGTTTCACACCATAACAATTGTTGTTGTAACAAATGGCTTATATAAATAGTGTTCCAACCACTACTGTGTTCGTTGTATCCCAGCCGACCTGAATAGATCTGTACTGAGCACCGGCTCGGCATGGTCAGGTGGTTAGGGCGCCTGACTGACGGCGGCGATTTCGAATTTCCGTCCCACCAAACATGCTCGCCCTACCAGCCGTGGGGACGTTATAATGTGACTATCAATCCCAGTATAAGTTGGCAGTGTTTGGTGATGACTAACTGCCTTCCCTCTCGTCTTACACTGCTAAATTAGGGACGGCTAACGCAGATATCCCTCGTGTAGTTTTGTGCGAAATTCAAACCAAACCAAACTGTACTGAACGAAATGCGTCGCCGGTAATGGATATGGCGAATATAGTGCGGTTGAGATACTATTAAAGATTCTTCTAATTATTGAAAATCCCCATAGGACGAGATTAAGATTGTAGTGGTAAAAACATAATGAGTCTAACATAATGTCTAATGGTAAGTGTAATTAAATATATTGCTTAGTTCCGTGCAAAGAAAAAGGTTAAGAGTTGTAGCAGT